CACAGCCCTTGCGCCATGCACCTGGGAGCGGGGCCACCCACTCGACGGGCGCACAGAAATGGCCTGGCACCACATTGGGGACCACTGATCTAATCACTGTCTACTAACAATCAACTGCTAACTACTCCTAAGGAGAAAGCTAAGGGCACACTTGCAAAGGCAACCAGAGCGTTCCAGCAACCGTCAGGGGCAGAAAGAAGGAACTGAGGGGGTGGAGGGCCAGCAGGGGGTTATATGCTAGGATATACTGGCACCACTCCAGAGGACTCCCCTACTGGCCCAACGAGTACTGCTAAGGGCAAAAAGCTTCCGGAACTTGTGCACAGGGCATGCGCACACACCTGGACAGAATGAACATAAACAAGCACTAGAACCACCACCAGTCTGCTCTTAATTAATCCCTGTGGGGTGCTGCATCACAGAACACCAGATGCCTTTTCCCCTCAGTTTATTGCCCATCTCAAATTGTCCTTCCCCAAGTCTCCTGGAATAAGTAAACACCATTACCCTCAGAGTAAATAAAAAACAAACAGAGCCCAGGTAATTACTAACAAACCCAAAACGAAACAAATCTGTGAAGGAAGATCTGATCTCAGTGAAGGGATATGTGCCGCAAGCAAGAGCGCAGGTAGACAGCACTGCAGATGAATAACTGAGAAGAACGAAGAGAAGCATATAAGTGCATAAAATTGATTTGAAGAACTTTGCTACCATATTCCTATCAGAAAGGTGGAAGGGTTGAAATCTGCAGCCAGCACTGGTGACAAAGATGGCAGGATAGATACATTTATATCCCAAGTTACTTTGGATTCTCTCTTCTCCACACCAGGGATTACCCCACAATCCATTTATGCAGTTTGCAGGGAGATACCACAGGACTCGGCAACTACCAGCTGTTTGATTTGCACACAGATTGGTGCAGCTGCAATGCACAATCAGTATTATAATAAATCAGTCATCAACTAAGACCATGTGCTAGGCACTGTAGGAGCTCTCAAAAAAAAAAAAAAAAAAAAAAAAAAAAAGACAAAACAATCCATGTAGAATATTTATACTAATATCAACATGATTTGTGGACACTACAATGTTTTCATACAATCAAACTATCCTAGACAGGATCTACCTACCTCTATTAAAGCAGATTACACTGGGGGAAGATGCCAATACAATTCTGTCTTACTAACTTCTCATGTCCAGGCCTGAAGTTTACTCACCTACTTGCCCCAGCTGGTCATTAGCTTTCCCTGATGAGGAAGGAAAGGATAACAAATCTAAGCCACAATTTACAGCAGGCAAAACTTTTATTTTTCAAAATGAAATTACATTTCCAGACTCTATGCTTGATACAATAGTGTGAAATATCAACTCTTCCCCAGACTACTGACAGAAGAACCTGGACAGTTCCACAACTGCTATTCAGAATCCTAAAGCAGTTGTTCAACTCACAAGTATCTTTTCCATTATACTGTCTCCATTCGTTGGAGCTACTTCAAGACAGAACCACCTAATGAAGACGACCAGGAACTGCACCAAATACACCACCACTCAGCAGCGAGGACGATCTGGCCTACAGAGACAGAGAGAACTTACTCCATTCCAACCAACAAAGAAGGGGGAGGGGGAAGTGACTCACGTTTGTATGACACATTAGGTTAAAGGAGGTTATGAAATACAAAGCCCCCAAGCAGAGTCCAAGGTTAGAACTCTCTTCTAAGCAACTTGGGGCAGGATTTGGATTTCTCACCCATGCGCTTCCCCTAGGCCTTATTAGGGGCTCTCAAATCTTTTGTATTTGCCTCTGGCAACTAGTACTCCCAGTTCTGAACTTTATTTGACAATCAATGGAAATAGGAGGATCACTTGAGGTTATCCCCAGGTGAACAAGTGAGATGGATCCTGGGTGAACCTTTCTTGCCCATCGTGAAAGAGAAACAGATGTACTGAAGAAACACCCTCTCCCCCGGCCCCCACATATGTCCAAGTGGATTTACATTTAATCCAGAGGATATATCTAGCAAACTACTTTTCTCTTTCCTCCATACTGTGTGCATTTCACATCGAAAATGCTTGTCTGTTTCATTGCACAGCGTGTTCTATTAATGAAAATCTATTTGAATATATGTTTTTATATGTAATTTCTGAAATATTGTAGCTTCATACTGCTAGGATTCCATTCAAGAAAGCCATATGAAGCCTTCAGGGTTCTGGCATGCAAACAGCTTCAGTTGTGACGACCTGTAACTCAACAAATCAAATAGCATTGAAAGAATTTGGCTGTAGTTGTAAGGTAACTTGCTAACATAAAAAAGCCTTTTTTATATGCTGGTTATTAAGCAGCAAAAATACCGTTACTGGGTTCCAAAAAATAAAGTAAAAAAATATTTAAAATACTGTTCCCTTCTTACAGGAGGAAAAGTGACTGGATACAAATGAATGGAATGTTGTGCCCTATAGTCTGGCCTGTGGAATTAACAAATGGTGGGAGTGTCAAAACACAAAAGAGAATTAATTTACCTATGCAAGCACTATATACCCTATATTAATTTTTTTCCCCCAAGGGAGATGAACTATGAAGAATCCTAAAGTTAGAAATATTGATGGTTTACATGTTTAATAGACTGCCTTCCGTTCATGTTAAGAAATAGTCCACTATTGCCTACTCTTAACAGGATCAACAAATCCACTCAAGAGCTTTGTGCCCTTTAAATACCCAAATCAAAAGTTCAGAGCAAAATGGTGTCAAATGCTAGTTGTTTTTCCACAAACTCTTCATGAAGACCCTGAGTTATATCTTGGACCATTGGATATGTAAAAAAGATCTTGACACACTCTGAAATGAGGATCGTGTCAAATTCTAAAAACATTGCCTCTGGATTTTACAGAATTTAGCAACAATCCACTGTATTTTTAAAAGTAAGGCTCTGATTCCAAGTCATCTGAATTCAACAGAAAGATTCCCATCGACTTGACAGGCTTTGGACTAGATCCTTAATTATTTACATTGCTTTACATATTAGCTTTAATTTCCCTCTCCTTTTTTAAAATTCTCTAACCTTCATGCACTCTTTCATTTCCTCACCCCCAACATTTACCAGTTCCTAACAGATTACACTTTCTTTTCCTTCCACAATGAAAGAGGGAACATACAAAACATTTAATAGACAATACAAGTATTTGTATGTAACACTAATTTATGTGAAACTTCCTGCGATATGTCTTGCAAATGAATCCAACCACACTGTGTAAAACAAAACAGATGCATGTTTCTGCTAAAAGCAAGCAGCAATGAAATAATTGATATGTTGGCATATGAAACACCACCATTAAGTTTCCGTGTTAACAATTAGGATGTGGAAGCTCATGACTCAGGGCTACTGTTTGTGGCTAACTACAGGTTCTACATGACAATACTAGAATGCTCCACATACAAAAAGAGATCCTGCTGTATCCAGAAAAGCTAGGAAAGTATTTTTGAACACAAACCTGAGTTCTGCAAAAATAACTGGAAATATCTGAAGTCTACAGATATGTCCTAAATCTGCATTAAAGCATAGAATTTCTGGCAACATTTTAAAAAGCGAGATTCGTCCAATTCTAACCAAAATAATGTTGAATTACAAGATCATAAAGATCTTTTTACTGTTATTCCGATTCTAGGTGCTGATCTATCTAGCGAGTGGAACAACAATTCTTCCGAAGGAAAATAGTTGTATTTCTCTTACATATGATGATAGTCTGGTTTGGATAACAGCACAAATCTTGAGACAAATGATTTAGAACAGAAAATGGAAAAAAAGATTTGACTGTAGCTGCCACAACGCCAGTCTCACTTGTCTCTCACCTGCACTTTCAGAAAATACACACCTGACAGAAAGGCAGAAGGAAAATAGAAGGCATATTAACTATAACTTGGAGGGAGGCAATTCTGGAAAAAGGAATCATGTAAAATGTATTTTATACTCTCCAAAGACTACTTTTAACCCACTCTATTAAAATTTTAAAAATGCAATTTTAAACACTCTTATTCCAACTCTTTAGTATGTGCAAAAAAGGTTAAATATTTATTTTTAAAAAGAAATACGTACACATCTTCTATATGCTAGCAGCCATCCTACAAGTTGAGTCTTGAAAAAAAAAATTCTGAAGTGTCACGGCTTCCCGTTATTTCAGTAAATAGTTTTAGTCAAAACTAAAATCTTGTTCTTGCATGCTGAAGTTAAAGTTCAACCTGATGTCTGAAGACATTCTTTAATAGACAACTGACTTGTCTTGTGCTATCAAGAGAATTCTACGGATGTCTGACGCAACACTGGAACTTTAACATGCAGGAGTCCATGACCTTTATTTAAGATTAATCACGTTTATGCAAATTTCACAAAAATTTGTGTATGTGGAAAGCTGAATAAGCTGGTAGTCAAGCTCGCTATGCCACTCTTGTTTAATTTTAGACCACACTTAACTTTTTCATACGTTTATCAGAGAGTGGTCATGAAAATGATATTTAGAAAGTTGGAGGAAGTGAAGTAACCAATCATATTAAGAACAAAAGATCTATTACAAGTCACTCCCGAAGTTCTGCAGCAGCTGGACAAAGCTTAAGAGTTGGATAACTTGAGCTAAAACTATTTTTCATTCTCTTTCAGGGTTGTTTTAAATCTAGTTATGATTTACATGTTAAATATCACTAATAAAAATATCACTAATAACACTGCTGTAATTATGATCAGTTATGTAACTCAGCGGATCTTAAGCACAGATTTTATTGGCTGCTCATCATTACCTTTAGCTATAAAAATGTTTAGCCCTGCAATATTAACTGAGCATAAGCGTTGTCATTGGGAAGACAATTGCAGTTCACTCTCATAATTTAGCCTACATTTACATTTGTTATTATACAAAACCCAGAGAGATCTATTCATGCTTCCAACTGTGATCCTTGAAAAATGTAACCCCACTGAAAGGTGTATACTTTAAGCTCTTTGCTATAATATTTTACTCACCAATGCTACTAAGAGAACTGCTGCTTTCGGAATCAGATGGCATGATTGACAGCACACTGTAAGTGGACCCTGGAATATGAAAAAAAAAAAAAAGCAAAAAGTTAGTTCTTTGCCTTCACTCTCTCCCTCCGGTTTTTCTTCAATCCACCAAGAAAATATCAATTTTGCTCTCTCAACAGATCAAACCAGTGGTATCCAACAGACACATCTCTGCTGAGATCCTAAAGACAGTTTGTTATTTACTTAGGTATTTCTAGAACATATCACTAGAATCTCACAGTAACTGGAATACCTGAGGTCACTGGCTTCCTTTATCATGAACCAATCCTATTAATCTGTGTTACTCCTATTCCAAACAATTACTTCCCTCAAGCACATAAGAGACAGTAACACTCAGCTTAGTTCAAGACTTTCAGAAGGAGGCCTACACTAATTGCACTTTTCAGTTTTTGCAATACATAGGAGCTGCTACCTGGTCATGACACCCGATTACGCTATGACGACCCTCAAGAAACCATTCCCAAGCTTGAAGAACTAATTTCATGCTTGGGCTTCAATAAATCTAGATTCCCTCCATTTGCTTTTTTCAAGTAGCCAGTCTTACAAGAGGAAAGCCTCAACACTGTTTTGCTAATACTGGAGACACGGAAGGGTGGGATCTTTAATTAGCATTGCTATTATGAAAATAAAGTACAATTTATTTACGAGAACAAGCAATAAAATGGGATCTATTTGAAGAGCTGCCTATCAAAAAATTGCATCTCTTCTCTACCCCTCCCTCCAAAAAAAATTCCACCACACAAATGAGAGAGGGAAGGAGGTTATGAACGATAAGGTAAGAGGCACACCAAGGGAATTTCCACTGGCACATATATCAAGTCTATCCTCCAAAAACCTGGCCTTAGTATGAAGGTTTCTGTGCAAGACTCTTTTACTCTCCTAATTCTTTCCACTCATGCTTTAAGGTTTGTTTCTTCCAAACTCCTTGTCACAACGTGTCACACTACAAAACACAGTATCAAAAACCAAGGCCGGGCTCTTCAGCTAGAGTACACTGGTATGGCTTCCTAGATTTCAATAAGCAATTCCAATTTACACTAGTTGAGAAGCCAGCCCTGAATTTGGCACAACAGGAGCAAACGCTGCAACGATGAGAACAAATGTCAGAAAAGTAGGGTGATGCCACAATTAATCCTTTGAAGCAGACTCTCTAGCTTCACTACTAAACCAAAATACCTACAAGAATTGGTTATTTTACCTGACAGCTTTTTGGAAAGAAAGTTTCAACATGCACTGCTTATTGAAAAATTCCAATTGATTACACATATTGTAGATTATAAAAAAAACATATCTGACAAGTATGTCACTTTGACAGGTAACTAATGTAGTAGCCTCTATCTTTCCCCCCATACTGTGGACATTTTTGATGCAGTAAAATGAGGAGTTTTGTTATTTGATACTGCTCATTTAAAGGAAGATACTCTAAGCATCAACTAGAGTCCATCAGTGTCTCTTCACTACGTAAGAGTCTTTCACACCTCCATCCTAACCTTCAGCATATTTTGTAGCCCTGGCCTGGGGGCAGGAGTTTGAAGAAAACCTTTATTGGCCACCACCTGTATTTGGAGGAAGTTTTTACAACAGCAAGTATCAGGATGAGATCACGATCTCGCCGCACGTGCGACTAGAGCAGGATCTGAATGCCCATCTTGAAAGGTAAAAGCTAATTAAGCATCTGTTAAAAGTTTACCTCCTCACCAGTTTCCTTTTAGGAACACAAGAAAATAGGCACTGCAAAGGGCTTCTGGCCCTTTTCAAGAGCACCCAATGAATTAAAAACCAGGAGTGCTCCAATTCCAGTAATTCAAATTTTTCTCTAGAAAGAGTTTCATCATGACTCTACAGATAGCTGAACTCACTAGCCTGCAATGTGTCTCAGTGACAAATGGGATGATTGATAGTGGAGAGGGAAGATGTTCTGGCAATTAAGGTAGTGACTTGGAGACAAGATCAGGGTACTATTGCCAGCTTTAACTCATGGCAATAATTTACGTTCCGTATCTCAGTATCCCAATCTATAATATATTTCCCTGTGAAGGAGCACTCAGATATTATAATTAGGGCACCTTTGAGAAGTTAAAAAACCAAACAACTAGCACAGACTGTTCTCCCTGTCACTCCAGTAGTTTGTCCTTTCCAGTGTCTCATTTGATACTCAGACTGAAATTTGTAACAGACACCACGATGATCCAGAATGTCATTTGTCTTCAGCTTAAAAATAATACAACCGACCCTTGTAGATTTGGGCTGAAAATCAAACATTCCCTCTTTCCTAGCTAATGTCAGCTGACAGTTTTGCATACAATGAATACGCTGTGGAAACATACCTTAAAGCAGAAGTCAAAAACAGATTATGGGCACAGCATTTATCATCCCTTACACAGTAGTAAACACATGCTAAGGCATTTACGACATATGAGGAGACAGGCCCCTTCCCTCAACAGCCGATAACGTAAGACCCCAAGCCTGCAAATGCATCCAAAGCATCACTAAAGTCAATGTAGTCGGTGCAGGTGTTTGACTGTATACATATGGAGAACCAGGACTTAAGGAGAGAAAGGATACCAGGGTACAAACGTATCTAAGTGATATCTGGTACACATCTTGTGGGTCCAAAAATCATCTCCTCCTCCCCATGTGTCCAGTTGGCCCAATCAATATTTTTTTCAACAGCACTTTGGTTCTGCATCCCTATCTGTTGCAATGTGTTTTTTTCCTTAAAGAAGCACACTCTTTAAAAGATGGGCACTGTTAAAGAGGTTCCCATTGGTAGTTTCACACTGCTTTAAAACCTTACACCCAAGTAAAGCTCCTACTTTTGATATTTAAGAATGATCTGACAAAGTGAAAGATTTGGTCTACTGTTGCTGCTTTTAAACATTTTCAAGTAAACAGCTATACAGGTTAGGTCTCAAAATCCACAACAGATTCTTCAAAAACCAGACAGCATCTCACTGTTAGATCCTTGTTTTTCTTCATCAATAAGCAATCTTGTTTTTTAAAAAGGAGTCAAACTCTCTATAACAAAGTTAGAATAGCGTTTTGTGAAATATATCAAGATGGTCTAGATAAGTAAAGCATGACCTCTTCCTAGAGATAGCGGGAAGATGCAATACAGCTGTTGGTAAGAACTACGAGTGCAAAAATCTGACAGTCAGCATTCTGCCATCTGAACACCCACATCCAAGAAGAAGGTTGCAATCATCTATCTAATCCTTCATAGCTCATCAGCCCTGCAACCTGAAAAAAAGTTACACCTGGGGTTCTTCTTAGTAATACCTATGGAAAAGAGTTTGTGTCTGCTCCCCTAAAGCATGTGTACCTGATGAGTTCTGTTCTGTTTAAACACAGTGGGGATGAAATAAGGTCAATGTCTGGAACTTGTTACGTTAGTATTCAATATCAATAAATTGGCAGAAATTGTACATGCAACTAGGTGATTTGGTAAATTATTCATAGTGTTAGAATTATCCCTACACCACTATTTTCACATTAGCAAAATAGAGTCTCGTGAATTACTGTACTCATCAACCACCCATTGCCTGAAACCACTCAAAGGGATGCAGCACTGAAACTATTGTTCTAAATTGCTGCTGTTTAATTAGGCTGGGAACTGTATTTGAAAGAGGTAGGAAATATACCAAAAGACAAAACTACTCCAACTTTGGATTTCTTTGCATTTTATCATCACCTTAAGTAGATGTTTTGTAAAGTATGAGACAAAACTGGTCCATTTTTCTAGTGAACAAGTTTAAAGTTACAGATTTTTTTAATTTTGTAAATGGCTACTTCAACTTTAACCGAAAAGTCTTTAATTAGAAGAACATAGAAGGTATGTTTCACTGAAATTATCACTACACCTTTCAACAGGTTGGCTCATGCAGTTCCATAACAACAGCCATATGGGGTCAGACCAAAAGGTCCATCTAGCCCAGTAGCCTATCTTCTGACAATCAGTGTCAGGTGGTTCAGAACCAATCAACAGAATCCATTATCAAGTGATCCATCCCATTGCCCATTCCCAGCCCTAACACCAGAGGCTAGGGACACCATACCTGTCCATCCTGGCTAATAGCCATCGATGGACCTATCCACCATGAATTTAACTCTTTTTTGAACCCTGTTGTAGTCCTGGACTTCACCACATCCTCTGGCAGGAAGTTCCACAGTTTGACCGTGTGTTTTGTGGGGGGAAAAAAAAAAACCCTACTTTTTTTGTTGGTTTGTTTATCTTAAACCTGCGCTCTATTAAATTCATTTGGTGACTCCTCATTCTTGTGTTACAGGAAGGAATAAATTAACTTTTCCGTATTAACTTTCTCTCCATATCCCCCATAGTCATCTCTTCCCAAGCTGAAAAGTTCATTTTCACACAGATAGATCTGCTGTTCAGCTGCCACCTGGAAATTTGTTTCATGTTTTTAATAAAGAGGGGAAGTATTTTATTAGGAAAACTCAAATGGAATTTTGCTTTTTCAAAACAAAATTGTAATTGACATTTGCATTTGGAATTATCAACACTATAAAGCAAGTAGAATATTAGCTCAAGCAACTCTCTATAGTCTTTAGAGTCAAGTAGATCTTTCTAAATATGTAATGTTTTTCCTGTGTGTCCTGCAGCCCCTCCCTCCGTCCCCCATGCTGAGGGCCTTGGCCTCCCTGGTGCTAGAGCGGGCAATAGCAATGCAGTCTCCAGCTTCCATGGAACTCGGGGGGGAAGGGGGGCAGCAGCCATGAAGCCTCCCCAATGGGCAGGGCAGCAGCCACATGGCTTCCCTGGTGCTCTGGAGAAGGTCCAGGAGCTGCTCCCCCTTCCTACTTGCGGGGGAGGGGAGGCTGGGAGCCACACACCCTCCCCCTCATGGGGGGGGGG